ATCGTTTTAATGCAAAACATATGTTGATTAATTGTGATATTTTTATATTTTTGTCTATGACACTTCTAGGTTAACACTTTTATTGTGGAAAAAGTACAAGAAAATTAGGTTCATTTCCGTGTGAACTTGCCCTTTAAATAGCAACATTTTACTTATTTAATTCCTAATAAGTGATGGTAACAAGACACTTGTGATAAACAGCTCTCTGGCCATGATAAAACAACCATTTTGAGAATATTTATAGGCATTCTTCCATTAAACCTGTTTTCCTTTTGCTCGAGATCTTTATTCCGCCAAGAAATAACACTGACTTAACACAGCATTCATTATGTATATAGAGAAGTAGGGGCACCTTATCAATGTTATCACAAAGACTTTCTCAGACATGAGAACCTTCAAAACACAACCAACTAAAATAGATGTTTAGCTTATCTCAGGTGTTAGTTTGAGAACTAAAGGGAAGGGATGGAGGAGCAAGGAAAACTTAGAATGTGTGAACTGCTGCCTACTGCCTAGAAGATCTGGCCAACATGGCGAAACACTATTGTAGCCTAACATGGGATGTAGAAAGGAATTAACACAATTGTGTTCGTATTACCTAAGATTTAGCATAAAGGGAGGATGTGGACACAATTAAAAATGGAAGGGAGGAAGGGTGTAAAGAAGTGTATGGAAGGAGGGAGAGAAGAAAGGATGAATGAAGGATGTAAATTAGTGTATGGAAGGAGTGAGAAAAAAATGAAGGATGAAGGAAGGAAGTGGGAAAGATGGGTGTAAAGGAATGTATGGAAGGAGTGAGAGAAAGAAAGAAGGATGGAGGAAGGAAGTGGGAAAGAAGGGTGTAAAGGAATGTATGGAAGGAGTGAGAGAAAGAATGAAGGAAGGAAGTGGGAAAGATGGGTGTAAAGGAATGTATGGAAGGAGTGAGAGAAAGAATGAAGGTTGAAGGAAGGAAGTGGGAAAGAAGAGTGTAAATAAGTGTATGGAAGGAGTGAGAGAAAGAATGAAGGATGAAGGAAGGAAGTGGGAAAGAATAGTGTAAAGGAATGTATGGAAGGAGTGAGAGAAAGAATGAAGGTTGAAGGAAGGAAGTGGTAAAGAAGAGTGTAAAGGAATGTATGGAAGGAGTGAGAGAAAGAATGAAGGTTGAAGGAAGGAAGTGGGAAAGAAGAGTGTAAATAAGTGTATGGAAGGAGTGAGAGAAAGAATGAAGGATGAAGGAAGGAAGTGGGAAAGATGGGTGTAAAGAAGTGTATGGAAGGAGTGAGAGAAAGAAGGAAGGATGAAGGAAGGAAGAGGGAAAGAAGAGTGTAAAGAAGTGTATGGAAGGAGAAAGGAGTGTTTGGAAGGTGTGAGATCTTAGAAAAGATGGGAGGACATACATTTTTGGAAGAATGAGAAAATCGTAATTGAGGGAAAGTTAGGTGAAATGAGATTTAACAGTGGGATTATTGCACTTATATGGCAACATGCATTCACTTGTGTGTCTGTGTGTGGCAGCTTGTACTAGTACAAATGCTGATTTTATAGTGTAAGCCTACTGAGATACCATGCTGCAGTTTAACATGAATACTCCACTCAGACACAGTACACTGACTCCGAGCCAACCAGTCCTTGTTTTAGCCCCCTTATGCCAAGCAACAGACAGGGTAACAACAAGTACCATCTTTTAACGTCGTTTGGTATAACACGTCCTTCAGGGTTTTAAATCTGACTTTGCATTCATGACTCACTTGTGAATATATTAACTTGTTCTCGTCGCTATATGGCTGATGCGACGTTAAATTTTAACTCACTCACTCACTCTTCAGGTCTTTTCATTAGACCAGGGAGGCGGTCAGATGAGGGAAGGAAAGAGGGGGGATGAAAGTAGAAGGAATTATAGAAAGGTTGATAGTAAGTTAGTATTGAAGGGGAGTGAGGAAGAGGGGAAGGAAGGAAAAAGAGATGGATACAGGTAGCAAGATCAGAGGAAAATTTGGATGGAAGTAAAGGATGGATGAAGGAAGGAATGCAATTAAAAAGAAGCAAGTAAATTAGGATGGAAGGAGAGGAGGGAGGAAGAGAGGAGTGTGGAAACAGGGAGGAAGAATGGAACAGCGCAGTGATAGAGGAGCAATGAATGAAATAGGAAAGAAGGGAGTAATTTAGGATGGAAGGAGAGGAGGGAGGAAGAGAGGAGTGTGGAAACAGGGAGGAAGAATGGAACAGCGCAGTGATAGAGGAGCAATGAATGAAATAGGAAAGAAGGGAGTAATTTAGGATGGAAGGAGAGGGAGAGAGGAGTGTGGGAGGAGGTAGGGAAAAATGAATGAGGCAATGATGGAAGGAAGGAATGAGCAATAAAGGAAAGAAGGAATTCAGAAAAAAAAGATAGTAAATCAGCACCAACACTTTGAGAACCAGAAAAGTGAGTGAGTATAGTTTTACGCCACTTTTAGCAATATTACAGCAATATCACAGCAGGGGACACCAGAAATGGGCTTCACACATTGTACCTATGTAGGGAAACGAACCTGGTCTTCGGCATGACGACCCCACAGCCCCTGAGAACCAGTTTGTATATTGTAGTTATGGACCATAATGAACAGACAAAGTTAGTTCCTACAATTTTCCATTATAAAACCAATAATCTCAGCTAACAACCAAAGTGATATGTTGTTTCCTTGTCAATTCATCATGTTACTTTCAGCATGGAATATCACCTGTTTCATTACAGTGATGTTCTTGGTATTCGCTGACAACTCCAACAGAATGTTTAAACCCTCCCTGTGTGGGAGATGAATGTCATGAATGAGGTGCTGCTCTGCTGATGCCAGCGTGTTACATCCTTCCTTTCCACCCACAGCCTGAATCTACACTAGACCTTGGCCAGGTTCAACTCAGGAGTCCTGGCCTATTCCTCCTGTTTTTAGTTTTACTCTATATCAACAGTGTAGGGCCTTGAAGCTCTTTAAGTTGCTGTTAGCATTTAGAAAAAAGGTTCTCACACATGAAATTAAAGCAGCCTAGCAAGAGAGCTTTATTTGCTTTGAGAAGCGGTGTCTTTCTGCACAGACCTGACTATAGTATGCAAATAACAGCAGAAAGATAACTGAGTCAGCTTTTTGTCCTTGTTTTCCATCCACAGTTAGCTTGTGGCCTACCAATCCACAATTTGAGTTGCTATTATTAAAAGAATCAAGTACTGGGGCTGTTTTTATGACAAGCATGGAAAAGTGTGGCTGCTTTTATGACAAACATGGACTACTGGGTCTGCTTTTAAAAGTGGGCGATACCAGGGTTGCTTTTATGACAAGCATGGAATAGTGTTTTTGCTTTTATGACAAGCATGGCATACTGGGTCTGCTTTTATAAGTGTGTGCGATACCAGGGTTCCTTTTATGACAAGCATGGAATAGTGTGGTTGCTTTTATGACAAGCATAGCATACTGGGTCTGCTTTTATAAGTGTGTGCGATACCAGGGTTGCTTTTATGACAAGCATGGCATAATATGGTTGCTTTTATGACAAGCATGGCATACTGGGTCTGCTTTTATAAGTGTGCGATACCAGGGTTGCTTTTATGACAAGCATGGAATAGTGTGGTTGCTTCTACGACAAACATGGTATACTTGGGCTGCTTTTATGACAAACATGGAATACTGGGGTTGCTTTTGTTACAAGCATAGCATACTGGGGTTGCTCTTATGACAAGCATGGCATAATAGGGTTGCTGTTATGACAAGCATGGGATACTGGGGTTGCTTTTGTGACAAGCATGGAATAGTGTGGTTGCTGTTATGACAAACATGGAATACTGGGGCTGTTTTTATGACAAGCATGGGATACTGGGGTTGCTTTTGTGACAAGTATAGCATACTGGGGTTGCTTTTATGACAAGCATAGCATAATGGGTCTGATTTTATGACAAGTATGGAAAACTGGGTTTGCTTTTGTGACAAGCATGGAATACTGGGGTTGCTTTTATGACAAGCATAGAAAACTGGGGCAGCTTTTATGACAAGCATGGAAACCTGGGTTGCTTTTATGACAAGCATGGGATGCTGGGATTGCTTTTATGACAAGCATGGGATACTGGGTTTGCTTTTATGACAAGCATGGGATGCTGGGTTTGCTTTTATGACAAGCATGGGATGCTGGAATTGCTTTTATGACAAGCATGGGATGCTGGGATTGCTTTTATGACAAGCATGGGATACTGGGGTTGCTTTTGTGACAAGCATGGAATAGTGTGGTTGCTTTTATGACAAACATGGAATACTGGGGCTGTTTTTATGACAAGCATGGGATACTGGGGTTGCTTTTATGACAAGCCTAGCATAATGGGTCTGCTTTTATGACAAGCATAGAAAACTGGGTTTGCTTTTATGACAAGCATAGAAAGCTGGGTCTGCTTTTATGACAAGCATGGGATACTGGGGATGCTTTTATGACAAACATGGAATAGTGTGGTTGCTTTTATTACAAACATGGAATACTGGGATTGCTTTTGTGACAAGCATGAGGTACTGGGGTTGCTTTTATGACAAGCATGGATTACAAAATAGTTTGTCAGGTTAACGTAGGGCTTTCAATATTCTATTTCAAGATTATTGAACAATTAACACTTTGTGGAACAGAGCCATGGATGAAATAATTGTATCTTCACATCCCAGTACCCCATATCACAGTACCTCTCTCAAATGGATGGTCACAATGGACGACTTGGCCACTTGCAAGTCATTGTGCCCCCATGTATTAATGCTCATGCTGTCAACCATTGGCTTGCCTAATCACAACTTTATTAATTAAAGGCCAATTTACCAATATTCCATCAAGATCACAGCGGGGGACACCAGAAATGGCTTCGCACATTGTACCCTTGTGGGGAATCAAACCCTGGTCTTAAATGTGACGAGCAAACGCTTTAACAACTAAGCAACCCCACCAAATATATCCAGAATATAGCATTAAAAACATTCACACAGCCATTCTTAGTGAGGCAACAAAACTATATATCATTTCATTATCAATTTTAATAATATGTACAACAACGTATAAACTGTACACATCTGTTCAATATATATTTTAGCTGGACATAATTTATCTTGTATATTCTCTAGTAATCATCTTTCAGCTGATTATAACCATCATGTCTCCGTCATATCATAATTTTTATAACTATGTACTGAAAGACATGGTATATAGTCAATTGTCAATTATTTCAATATTAGCACCATATGAAATATGTCAGTTTGTATTCACTGCACCATAATACTGATAGCACAAGTTAGCTGTCTGTTTCAGCAGTATCAGATTCCTCCTTTGAATTGTCAGTTCACAACACTGTTTGCAAACAATAAGTTTGTCAGAGAGATAGAGGTTGGATCGTGCCCTTCAAAGCGGAAACACTGGCCAGTTCGAAGCATCAACACAGTAATCTTCAGAGTTATCTCCCCCTCTTGGTAATGCTGGAATCTTCAGAATTGTCTCCCCTTCTTGATGATACAAGGGCTCCATTGTTGCCTAAAGAAGAAAACATTAAATTTCATAAGTAATTTTATGAGCTAATATTGTTATTTTTGAAGTATTCAATAATATTTTATACTCAGGAGTAAAAGTGGTAAAAACTTTATTATGTTTTACACTTTTATCAAATCTTAATCCATACAGTTTTTTGCAGTCTTCATAAAAATGAAAGTTTTTAATAACAATTACCTTTAAATGCTGGAGCCATCAACATCAGGTTCATCAACACTGAAGCGTACAGACTTGTTGCGAGCTGATGATTTCCGAGTAGGGGGCACACGTTGTGACGTTGAAGGATGATGGGGTGGGGCTGTCTCTGTGGGGTGGGGCTCCCTAACTGGGGTATAACTCCTCTCTGAAGGGACATAGGTCACTGGTAGATTAACTCTGCGAGGCGTTTCAACCATCCATTCTCGTAATGAAGAGGAACTAAGAATACTAGTTTCTGGACGGAAGTCAAAGGATTCACTGGGACTAAGCTGTTGGGACGAATCTGAAAATATAAAGAACTACATAATTTTCCTTACATAAATACATATGAAATGTTTCTTTTTAAAAATAATTATATTTTTTAATACTGAGAGGTATGTAAGTTTGTATATTCTATTCAAAGGTAGTAATTGATTCTCATGTTTGTTTAACAGTTTAAATTATCATTTTTCTGTATTCATAAATGTTTGATGATAAACTCTTATCTGGTCATTAAAAATTTCTATTTTCAAAGTTAAGAATCTAATAGTAATATGATATCCATACATACATTATAATCACGGATATCACACATTTTAAAGAAAAGAACATTAAGCACAAATATAATGAATATTGATAGAGGTTTTAAAGTTACACGCCCAATTGTTAACTACAGTTAGTAGTAGAAGCTACACAGCTTTCACAGAGTTATTAGAAAGCTCTAATTGAATTTAAAAATACAGGTTAATTTACATCAATGCGCTTGGTCACTGTTTTTAGAATCATTAAGACAGCACAAATTAAACACCTTCTACAATATTAACACACTGACACAGCTAGACTGCTAGACTAAACTCAATCAGTAACCAGGCTAAGCTACAAGCTATAAACACATTAAAAAAGCAATAGAATGGTTAAGAATGTTAAGAATTCTATTCAAAATGGTTTAAAGGATCAGTTGATAGATAAAGACTAGTCACAACAATTAGTTCAGTTTTACATCTGAAAGCAAAATGGTTAAAGGCACGAAGCTACAGTAGCACAGCAAATGCACAGAGTCTGGCAAACATGGACTTACCAAAGCTGAGAGTGTCAGCTATACATAACTTGTGTTGTGTACAACTGCAGGTGGAAGAGGAGGGCATGGTGAGAAGGATGGATGAATAGGAAGATATAAACAGATAGAGAGAAGGATGAAAGTAAAGGAATGTATATATCAGCATCCTCGATCTCCATTCTATAAGAGGAAACATCCTGGACCAAATTTTGCCGTAGCTTTTCTTTGAAAAGCGACATCCCCACCTCCATCTCATGGAGTACTCCTTGCAGCATTTCTATTGCGTTGAATGTAATTTAATTATGATGGCTGCTTGTATGGTCATGCGATCCAAACTTATGATGAAACCATGGCAGCAAATGAGTCCAAGATAAGTATTCGAATGGAATGGAGCCTATGATACAGTGGACAATTGAGGATGTGATATCGGTGATTGAGAGAAGGACAATAGTGAAGGAAAATAGTACAGAATCAGAAGAAAGAATAAAGGAAAGGTTTGATGAAAATGGATGTAATTAAATTGGAAAGTTCTATCTTTTCTAGCTATTGCTTTCCTAAACAGAAACATAAAATAAATGTCTAAAGGTCAAATTCAAAATGCATCTGACAGTAAGTGATTCTAAACTTAAGCATTTCTATAACTATGCCTCAGAGATACAAATTGAAAATTACAAAAAGATTGTTTGTTACGTTTACATACCTGGATCATTGTGTAGATATACAAATCTCCCGTTGCTATTGAAGTCCTCTTCACTCCCTCCATGACCACTGTCAGCCTCCGCCGACAGATTGCTGATGTCATCCTCTACCTTAGTAACAGGGTGGTCGGCAAACTGGACAATCTTTTTCTGAACAGGCTGTGAAGTTACGTCAACCATTTCCTTCTGAAATTAAGTATATAATAAGTTAATTAACTTTTTGAAAGGATGGTTTCTAAAAATCATTGTAATATGTCCATGTGTTTTATTTCTTGTTCATTTTAGGAATTTGTCTGTCTGTTTTATTTCACCTTGAAAAACAGCCAATAATCTTTTTGCCACACACATGTCCATATTTGAGGACTTTGAGCCTGACAAACTGAAGCCAATGATAATTCCTTCACACTATTCCGCTTGACAGTGTATTATTTGTGGCCTTCCATGAATCCTTTTCTTCCTGCAAGCTTGCTTCGGAAGCAAGAATACATTCCTGTGTGTTTGTACAAGTTTTATCTTCAAACTTTGCCTGTCTCCCGATCACAGTCGTGAAATTGACATTCACCTCTCTACAAACAATGGTAAAGTAAAATGCCAACACGCACACGACTTAAAACTTAGAGCCAATTAGATTTGGTTAAATGACTTAAAGAACAAAACAAGATTGTAAATATTGAGTTGTGTTGTAGGATGGCGGCCATTTCAGATGAATTTCCTAAGCTAATAAAAGGGGTGGGTATAGATTAGACTCTCACTGTTGAAACAAGCTTGAAAGATACCGTAAATCCTTCCATGATATCCTCGCATGGACGTTTTCTTCAAATAGTTTAAACGCATATTTAAAGGTCCAATGTTAGTTCATGGTCTTTCAGAAAATGGCGTTGACATCATGTTTCAAAATTATCCAAGATTTAATATTTGAACTTTTCAAGTGCTTGAAATCCCTCAGCCTGTTTGTCTCCAATCTTAAGGCTCAAGACTAAAATCACATCATGAGGCTTAAATAAGAATTATGTAATATCCATGATTTAAATCTAGCATTTTTATTACTATAAAACAATTAGAATTCAGAATTTGAATGAAAAACAACCCTTACTGACCACTTCATAATATATCAAATTGTCTCTAATAACATTTCCTTCTTATCGAAATGAGCCACTTGAGATCAGGTCACTTTTAATTTTTGATTCAATTTTTTTTATTGAAATATAAAACTTTATATGAAGGATCAATTGTGAAATGGATGTTGGAACATGCAAAATATCTATTGGAAGACGAGGGAGACTATGGATTTTGTTAATGTGACATAACAAAACATACATCTCCGAACAAGCTCAGTGTGACATGTTGCTCTGGTACCCTAACACCCTACAGTCATATCCTTAATCCTCTCAGCTGGACAAACAGGTCAACAAGGAGAAGTGACCACTAGTGACCACCCCACCTCCCTAATATGAACCTACAGGACTTGATCTCAAACATCAATATTTTCCTCCCCATTCAGGTTGTTATACACTTCCCCAGTATACAGGTAGAGAATTACTGTCAACATAAGTAATTTGGTGTAAATTAGCTCACTGTACTTGGGAGGGGTTAAGATGAAAAATAAATATTTTTGAACTGCTTATTTTCAAACAATTCTTGTGGTACTTGTGAATGTGGTACGTCCTTGTTAATTATTGGCAGTGAGTGGGTTTGAGTGTGCGGGGGATTGGAAGGTTATGGTAAGACGGTTGTGACATGTGGGACAATTATGCTTACATAGTTAAGTGTTTTGAAAAGGTATTCAGTTTGATTATTATGTAAACCTCTCTTTGCAGGTTATATAAGACCTCATAGGGGATAATGTCTTTTATTAGTGTACATTATTCACCTCTATATTATTTATCAAGTTTGAGCAATTATTATATTATAGTATGTTAAGTGTCTCAAATCAGCTGAATACAAAATACCTAATGATGTGATCATCTGAATAACAAAAAACAAAAACATTCATAAAAGTCGACTGTCAATCTAGGAGTTTCTGTAGCTTTACCATGTTTCAGGGAATGATGTTTCTAAGCAGTGACATTGAGTTGGAGAAACGTTTGACCTATTTCAATTTCAAGAAAAATTTGTGACGTCAGTTAATAAAAACTTTTAACGAGAATTTTTGTTGCTATTTACTGTTTCAAGAATGCCAATCAAAGATGGCATGTGACACTGAGGTTTAACTCTTTAAGAGGTTTTAGTAGTTCAGTGACATCAATAATATTAATTGACATTAGTTTGACTTTTCTTACCTGTAGCTTTTTTTGTGAATGTTTTTCGTCTCTGAAGCTGAGTTGTTGTTTCACCATGACATGAACTTTATCGTCGGAAGCTGCAGCCAGTTTCTCAATGCTGTCCACGTTATACACCTTTTCCAGTTCTTCCTTTTTCCTTTTCTTGCTTTCTTTTCTCTCTCTGTCCACTCGCTTCATCATGCAAATGGCCAGCAGTATGGCCCCGGCAAGTATGACGGTCACACAAACTATAATGATGACAATGACGATGTAGCTATTGCCGTCTTCTTCCTTAACATCAGAACCAGTAACAATAATGTCCACTGTTACAAAAGACTTCTGTCCTGGATTATTTTCATAATATGTTGATATCAACAGCTTGTATAGTCCAGCATCTTTCAGTCTCATTGCCTTGACCAGGGTCAGGTTGCCGAAATTTTCATCCAGTTTGAAGAAATTTTCTTCGTTTCCATGTTCAATGAGAAATCTTGCTTGTCTTGTGTTTGTTTTTGTATCAGTCTTTACAGCAAGAATCGCACGACCAATATCCATGTCAAAAGGAATCCGGATAGAGTTATTTCCCTTCATGGGATACAGTATTGTAGGAGGCACTGCTCGGTCCTCTATGACGTAAACCGTTACATTTGCAGTGTCATTGAAAGAAATGTTTCCTTCATCCATAACCATCACGCTAAAGTCATATTTGTTCTTTACAAATCGGTCAAGTTTTTTACGAGTGATGATCTCACCAGTTGTGGTGCTAACACTGAAAGCGTCTGATACTTCATCACCAATCAGATAAAATAGGAGCTTTGGTAAGGCATCCGCATCTGTGGCACTAAGCGTCCCAACAGACATACTGACCGGTCGACCTTCTGGGACGTCAAACTCAAAGTGAGGCTTTGTAAATTCAGGGGCTTCATCGTTAACATCATCAACTATTACAGTAACTGTTGCAAAGGAACGCTGTGCTGGTGAACCGCTATCACGTGCTTCAACTCGAAAGCTGAATTTGTTGATTTGTTCGCGGTTGATTCTCCGTTTTACTCGGATTTCCCCAGTGAGGATGTTAATTTCTGCCATATCCAAAGAATCTTCAATGACAGCATAACTTACATCATTATTGCCTTCGCCGTCCTTGTCAATTGCTGTCAGTGTCATGATGATTTCCCCAGGATGGTTATTTTCGGTGATGTGGGCTGTGACATTTTCACGGGGGAAGACTGGGGAATTATCGTTGAAGTCTAAGACATTCACTGTGAAAGTTGTAGAGTTAACTTTGGGGATTTGTCCGCTGTCAGCACACGTAATGTTCACAGAATAACTTTTAGTTTCTTCATAATCCAGCTTCTTACTTAGGAAAATCTTGTAGTACTCAAAGCTAAATTTGCTGATGTAGAAATGCTCATCATTTGTTGAACAGTTCACCTCACGGTTTTCGTTGCTATCTCTGTCTGTGACTTTGAATGATGCAACAAAGGAGTCAACGTCAGCATCTTCTGAGACGTCGAAGCTACTTCGCACTGTGATGTAGGGTGCATTGTCATTAACATCGCCAATGTTGACAATAACTTCAGCTTGTGAAGAATACGGTGAAGTGCCATTATCCTTCACCATGACAACAAACCGATATTGCTTCTCTTCCTCATAATCCAGCTTTTTGATGACCTTGACATCTCCAGATTTTTCCTCAATGGAAAAATACTTTTTGATATTTTCATTAGTCCTTGAACTGAAGTGGAATGATAATGCACCATTAACACCAATATCAGAATCTTCTGCTCTTAGCTTCAAGATGGATGAATCCAGAGCTAAATCCTCTGCGACAGTCACTTCAAACGTGCTATTGGTAAATACAGGACGGTTGTCGTTTTCATCTAAGACCTGAATATTCACAGTCATAGAACCAGTCTTCTGAGGATTACCACCATCTTTGGCCACAATGACAAACTGATAAGTGTCTCGTTCTTCACGATCGATATTGGCTTTAATCAGAATCCCTAAATCCTTGTTGCCACCATCAGTAACTTCTTTAAGCTCAAATACCCCTTCATCTGGAGTCATGATGTAACTTTGTACAGAGTTATTAGCAGTGTCAAGGTCATGCGCAGGATTGGTTAAGATCATTTCACCAATCTGTATATTCTCTCGCAACGACAAAGACACAAAACCCTGGGGAAACTCTGGAGGGTTGTCATTGATGTCCAGCAGAATCACTGTGAGTCTTACAATTGAGTGCAGGTCATATCCTCCGGATTTCAACTCATACACAGTCACATCAAAACTAAGCTTGCAGCTTTCTTTACCAGCACATTCTGTATCTCTGTCAAGAACCTCAGCAGTCCGCAGTGTACTTGAATTGGCGTCAAGTTTAAACTTGGCTACTGTTGTTCCTTGTTTTGACATTTCATATTTCAGTCGTGCAGCTTCCTCTGTTGTAACCAAAGTATGGAGCTCTGTGTCTTGCATGAGATCACCAACAATGGTTCCACTCGGTTGTTCTTCATCAATCATGAACACTTTACTTACATCAGCACAGAACACTCCCAGGCTACTGAGAAGAGTCACAAATAAAACCAAATTCTTCATCTTGAAATCGTTTCAATCCCCTTCTCTAAATCATATCAAACGTTGAAAAACACCAGCAAGTGTCTCAAGATCGTGTACTTTTTGCAGCTTCTGTCGTCAGTGTGGACAGTGAGTAATTGTGTCCCCGCCTACATGGACACGGGCGCACTGTGTAACAAGCTAACACTGTCGTCTGCCTCCCCACAGTCCAATCAAGGTCTCTGATGGCCAAATCTGCAAATACAAAATACAATAGTAAACAACTCGCTTGACTGTTGACGCTGGACTTATACAGGGACATTTGGAGAGAGAGACCCCTGCCTTATGTCCGGGTTTGCCATAGGTGGCGCCGTAATTGATTACAGCTGCTTGTAAAGTTAATACGTCGACTTTTCAACCACAATGTCCATGAGACGGGTAAATACTCATGAAAAGACAACCTTGCGTGCCAACAAGCTGGGTTCATTGTCGGAATCATCCTCATACAGTGTATATTTGTATCTGAAAATGTATCCATGTTATATGCTTACAACGGATTGAGCTTTAAAAGTATAAACGTCCATGGGCAAGTCAGAGGTTGGCTACACACTACTAAGTCAATATTTCCCTTCTTGTCTGCAAACAGTCTTCTATTCAATGTATCTGACTTCAAAACCTTCCTATGAACAACGGTTGAAATAACAATCTGAATCTTACTGCTTCTTGAGTAAAGTCAATATTTTCATAGCCAATAAATGATTTAATCATGATAGTTGGTATTGGAATATCAACCGGTCTACAGCCTCCTCAAATTAATATCTCCTAGCAAATTAGAATTATTTATCAAGGCATGTAGACATTTTCAACTTGTTGATAGTGGAGGTGATACAGGTTACAAGTCAAAATAAAATTGGATATAAAATATCTACCAATAACTATATAATGATGTTCAGGTGATCAAAACCCATTGACAATACATGGTCTATTAATTAATGTATGATATCTCTTTCTGTTTCTTGAAAAATAAAACTGACATATAACCAAATATTTTAGCACAAAGTGTAATTAAAATAAAAAATAAAGATAGATACTTTTAAAGTTACCAAACATAACAGAAAAACCTCAACACAAGAGTTGATGAAATGAAATACATGGAAACAATAAAATAGTTGAAATCCATGTCAACTGTCTATTGATATTATGTTTCTAAACACGGACCCACAACAGCACATAACTAGTCATGTTTACTATCAATATATGTAACTCTTACCTAACAGTCACTCAGTACTGGTGAAATAATTATACATCGAGACCCTGTCACAACACATCCTCCTCCTGAGTGTAAGTGTGCCCTTATCCCGGGGTACCACCAATAACCCTGTATTACCCCAGAGAGGCTGACAGTGATAATGAATGGGGCCTTGACCAACAGCAGTGAGTGATAGTGAGTGATAGCCGGGAGTTACTGAGCATCCCCTTCACAACCACACTGGTCATTATCAACTGAGCTGAATCCTCCAACTGACCACTGACTGCTCCACACAATGACCGCCTCCGTCCCCCTTCGACCAATCACACGGGGAAGGCTGCCATTTCCCCCAAGGCTTTCCCCCTCTTAGATGGGGTGGTTACTCATGCGTTCGGTGGTGTATTGTGGAACATAGATGCCCTGGGTCATTAAATTAACATTAGTCAAATTAATCTTGAAACTTGTTTCATGTTGAAGTACCCACTACCTCCATCCCCACCTCTGTTCAATAGAAGGCTTTTAGATTTAATCATAAAGAGAAACAGGGGTAGGAGAACAGTATCTGTTATCTTGACCTATGTAACTTTGAGTAATTCTTTTATTTTCATTTTCAGGCCATGATTGCTGTATTTTGCTGTTATGTTGGTTTGTTGTTGTTGTGTATTTTCTGAATTGAAAGGCAACAGGTGGCACAGTGTTGCTTTTCATCACTTTAGTTCAAGTTCACAATTTAGCGTAATTTTGTCACAAGTTGTTCAGTTTGATCCAGGTGTTGTGACAAAATCCAGACTTTGTGTAATATTTGGATGCTCTGACTTTGAAGTAGAGGCAAGATTAGTATATTATGATTGTTAGCCTTTGAAGTTGGTTAGTTTTAAGTGTTTTCATTGAAATCATTTAAAAATACCAAGTGATCAAGTTAGTAGAGACCAAGTAGCACCTAATCCTGGCCATTGAATAAAAACTTTTTGAAGTAATTGCACAAACTTGGAAGTCAAACTATCAATTCTTCAGTCTCCATTACTTCAAAGCACATGTTAGTTGCTGAAATAATATTATTGATCAGATACTTCAGCCTAATTTGTACAATAATATTCACTTATCTATTGAGGAAAATGTTAAAATCTTCTTAACTGTTTGATATAACAGAAAATAACAGCATAAAACATCAACATAGTTAATATAGAAATTTATCACATAAGGAAAAGTGAAATAAGACTGATATTTACCTCACAACTTGTTCTGAAGTGTTCGGGGTAATTGTTGTAGATTAACATAGAACATGCTGGCAGTAAATAGATTTGACAAACACTTCACTGTGTTGGTAATCTTGTTACAAAGTTTGGCTTGACATGCTCTCAAGGCCTACTAAGCACTGGCCATTATATAATGCCAATTCCATTCCATAATATATGCTTGGGGATATTATATTTGTAAATAATTATATCACTAACTATGTCTGGTTGGAGGAATAGTTGGGTCTGAGACCAGGGAATTGAATTTTGACTACGAGCAATTATGTTACGGCACAAATGAATCCATTGAAGCCACAACAATATTGGGTAAAACCAATATCAGCTGAATCAACATTGATCCAAATGGCTGCTGGTCTTTGTCTCATTCTTGTTAACAGGCTGATAACTCTGTGAGCTTTGATGAATGAAACCTTAATGTATACATCAATGTCTACTACTTCTAACTCATATTTTTCTTACAGATTACAAGCTTTAGATACCAAACACCGAAATAAGTTTCGATCATGGTATTTTGACATTGACATAAAACATCCACCCGGTGTGAATAGCTCACTGAATGGATGTATCTTGTTTTTTTGACAAACATCTGTAACTTGAACAGGAACCAATTATCTTGAAAAATTGTTACCTGAAGCAAAATATTTTTTGTACCTCACACAGCCAGGACCATCTTCTGTGTGTGACTGTGTTTGTTGTTGCACAGTGGGTTGTCTCCTCTTGAATGATCAGCCTTAAGATACGTTCTTACAAAAATTGTATTCGTTTCATCTAACATCTTATTGAAAATCTTAATGATGGATGAGTCAGATATTAGAGCTGACAAGTAGGTGTGGTTAACACAGACCTTACCTTGGGTACTGATTTGAGAAAAGGTTGTTTGGGTCTGTTTTGGCCTGTTTCCTCCAAGCGTTTATGTCTTAACAGAACTGACTTTCCTTTATGGCTATTTTATACTGATGTACACAGGTAACTTCTCGACTTTCCTAAAACAGGTGTTTGATCTTTGGAATATATTATCCAATTAAGATTAACATGGTTTTGACAATTTCAAATAAATCTGGTATTGTAGTTGCATATGGTGTAATTGTTAAAACTAATCTATAAACATGTTACTGGATTAAAACACATTGCTACTGTTTGATCTTGTAATAAGTACATCATTAAAACACCATCATCTATTAGTAATAAGAATGACCATCTACAACTTTAACAAGATTTGGAAATCCTACACAATTTGCACACAATCCTCAAACTTTATCCAATTAGAATTTCAACAGAGGATTAATTCTGACATGTTAGTCGGCCAGGTGGGATGTTTACCAGCCTACACCTGGGTACCCCTAACGAAGCTCATTTACAGGTAAGTGTAATTAGAGGTATTGGCACTAATCCGAACCTGGCCATTTGACCCGACACAGTCTTAGTCTGGTGGCCAGGATTAACTATAATTGTACCAGGAAAATGATCAAGTTGCTACCTTGCATGACGTTGTACATTATTGGAAACGCAGCTCAAAACGTTTAAACCAAGTCTGAAAGATGTGTTAACATGATCAGACATAAAAATAAGAGATTGAATGACAATAACATGATATTATTCAGTTAACAAGCACTGTTTATCCAGCTACAGAACATGTATGAAAATTCACACCAGTGCAAAACATATTTGTGAACCAACATACTGAGGGCAGACAACGGTTAGCATCCAACTATTTAGCTCATTGATTATCTCGTCTCGATTTTCACTAATCTCTGACTAACGGACTAGTGGTTGTGTCTATACCTGCATTAGATTCACTATAACAAAGTAAATTTTATTCTATACTAAAAAATAAAAGATATTCCTATATAAATTGGGGACAATATTCTAACATTTTAAACGACCAAAATTATGAGTCAGTGAGTGAGTATGGTTTTACACCGCTTTTAGCAATATCCCAGCAATATCATGGCAGGGACACCAGAAATGGACTTCACATTGTACCAATGTGGGGAATCAAATCAGGTTCTTCAGTATGACGACCCAACACTTTATCCATGTGGTGCTTAATTATGAACCAGGCACCCACATTCGTTACCAAGATGTACATGTTGTTTATGCATGAAAGATATATTTCTAATGTACACAAGATAGCCATTATGTAACTCTCATTGCTATTTTGCCTTTTACACCTAACAGAATCAGTTTTATCAGTTTCAGCGTTGATGGTTTGAATGTATATGGCAACAAAAGCCTGTGGCTGTTACAGCATTGGGATAGTTATGGTGACCACGTAACAACCTTGCATCTCTTTCAGTGACAATTTGCTTGTCTTTGGCAAACAACTTCACCTTAATTTACTACTTACCATAAAATCTCAAATAGGTTTACAACTCCAAATTGTAGGTGATGACTTAATTTCCCCTCCTTGACTCTCCAAGTGTACTCTCCTCTGTGTTACCTGTCTACTGAGTTACCTGTAACCTCATCTGATTATATACCCATATATCACAGCAATGGCTTTCATCATTATATTTACCTGAACCTGTTAACACACATCAAAGACCCATCTCAATAAACAATAGACTCAGGTGCTGATGGACCATTGTTCTGTTAATTACAGGTATGTTATATTGTGCTACTTGCGGTAATCCACAGGTAGGTGTCCGGCTACCTGTCTGAAGATCCAGACAGCAAAGGTTGTTGTTGTTTTAACAATGTTTTTTGAGTCTGGTTTTTGAGACTAACATCAGACTTTGTTGTTTTAAGAA